CTGATTTTTAGGGGGGTGGGCCCCTGTCACTTCCTAGTCCCAATTAGAAGACGCCACATGTGCTCGTCCGTGAAGTCTGTAAAAACTTCTCTATGTGTATAGCATCTCTCTCGGCAGGAGCAGTACCGATTCTTTGCCATTTCAGCGGTGTGCCTTGGATGAAATTGATAGGTTTGTTTCCTTTGCTTCTCGAAGGTGGTGATGTGGAGCTTGGGGGAGATGATGATGATGTGTTGCGGCACAGACTGGGGTGACACGCATCTGGTGTCACATGGGGGTGGTGTAATGGTCTATACAAAAATGAAATCGATAAAATGATAATTTATTCCAGTAGTTTTTATGGGAAAGAAGATAGATGTTCTTTAGGGCCATGACCAATGTTAGTTTACATTCAGTGTAAATCTTAGCACCGACTCTACCTGGTGTTAACCATTTTGTAGTGTGGTGCCAAAGTAAAAAAGAAAAAAACTTTGGGCCTGCTTGGATGGCTGGAAATGATAATGTAGTGCATAAAGATTTATAGAAAGGTCAACCGTCACAAACTTTGACCAAATTTATGGAGAAAAATATTTATATTAAAAATGTCAAACATATATCATTAGATTTCTCACAAGTTGTAGTTTCATATTTTATATATTTGATATTGTAGATATAAATAGTTTTCTCTATAAATTTGGTCAAAAATATGCAAAGTTTGACTTTTCAAAAAAAAAATCTATACACACTACATTATGAAACGGAAAGTTTTATAAATTTTATGTTTGCACCAATGACAATTTACTTCGATGGCCTTGTATTACTCAGCTGGATAGATATGTATAATAGACACTTGTGGAATGACTTAGTTTATTTCATCATGAAACAAAAAAGCACACAGGTGAAAAAGGAAAAAGCACAAAAAGTTAGTAACATGGGCAAGCCCAAGCAAGAAAAGAGAATACCACCAAAACAAACAACAGCCAAAAGACAATGAGAGTCTACGACAACAACCCAAAAAAGTACAGAACAAACAAAATGAGTCGATTGAGCCAAACTGCCCTAGGCACATATACATGACGTAAACCGACTAAAACTTAATTAAGTGATTAAGTCTCATTGACTCAGGGCCGCACACCCTATAGTTCCGGGTTTCAGAGTTTGTATATTTTGTGATAGTTCTGTAGAGTACTATCCAATAAACTTTCTACCTATATATGATCGTCATGAATTTAATTATAATGAATCAATTGTAAAAATTGATCTGAACCTTATATATGCACTACTGAACAACAAGAGCAATTCGAACAACCGTCCACGGCGAGTATGTACATAACGGTAGGTTTATCAAAGCCTAATCTCTGCTTTCTTTATAACACAAAATGATCCAACTTTTACATGTACCTAGCCAAGTGAAGAGGAAAAGAGGTGGATATCCACAAATTTCCTTTTCCTCAGCGGTTCCATATCGTAGAGGAACACGCGGCACTCAAGACGCTTACAGTTGAATAGGGCGGAGAGACGGAGGTTTCAGCCTAGGGTCTAATCATGCATGTACCTGGCTCCATAAAAAATAGATGTTGTTTTACTGTGGCATTAAAATAAAGGGGAGGTGGTGCTATGATTCTAATATTTCTTTGATTCTCCTCTAAAAAAAGTTACAAAAAGCTCCATTACACAAAAAATACATTGCCAACTCTCTGCCCGCTCACCTGATCATACACACATCATTGAGGCATCATCCCACTCACACTGCTATAAATAACCCCTCCCCTATCACCAAGATATTTTAGATGTGTTGTTCACACACATCAATATTGCTTTGCTCGCGAATCTTGAATTTTACTTGTTGCGGTCCAAACAACTTTTTAACCCAGATGAATCAAAATAAATATTTTTATTCTCAACTTTCATACTTCTTTAAGCTTACTTGAGCCTGAACAATGTATACTTTTCTATTACTTGGTTAGCATAATTAACCACAATACTTAATAATTATTAGATTGTTTTTACTGTAAAATTTTAATATCTATAATATATAGGAAAAATGTTATATAGTCCTGAGAGTATGTACTCCTGATACGTCTCCAACGTATCTACAATTTTTGATTGTTTCATGCTATTATATTACCCCTTTTGGATGTTTATGGGCTTTATTTTACACATTTATATCATTTTTGGGACTAACCTACTAACCGGAGGCCCAGCCTGTATTGCTATTTTTTTTGCCTATTTCAGTATTTCGAAGAAAAGGAATATCAAACGCAGTCCAAACGGAATGAAACCTTCGGGAGCGTTATTTTTGGAACAAATCTGATCCGGAGAGCCTGGAGTGCAAGTCAAGAAAGCTCCGAGGGCCCCACGAGATAGGAGCCCCCCCCCCCTTAGGGCGCGCCCCCTGTCTCGTGGGCCCCTCGGGCGTCCACCGTCGTACTTCTTCCTCCTATATATACTTACGGACCCCGAAAACATCCAGGAGCACCACAAAACACAATTTCCACCGCCGTAACCTTCTGTATCCACGAGATTCCATCTTGGAGCCTTCGCCGGCACTCTGCCGGAGGGGGAATCGACCACGGAGGGCTTCTACATCAACACCATAGCCCCTCCGATGAGTTGTGAGTAGTTTACCACAGACCTACGGGTCCATAGTTATTAGCTAGATGGCTTCTTCTCTCTTTTTGGATCTCAATACAATGTTCTCCCCCTCTCTTGTGGAGATCTATTCGATGTAATCTCTTTTTGCGGTGTGTTTGTCGATATCCGATGAATTGTGGGTTTATGATCAAGTTTATCTATGAATAATATTTGAATCTTCTCTAAATTCTTTTATGTATGATTGAGTTATCTTTGCAAGGCTCTTCGAATTATCAGTTTGGTTTGACCTACTAGATTGATCTTTCTTGCCATGGGAGAAGTGTTTAGCTTTGGGTTCAATCTTGCGGTGATCTTACCCAGTGACAGAAAGGGTTGCAAGACACGTATTGTATTGTTGCCATCGAGGATAACAAGATGGGGTTTATATCATAGTGCATGTGTTTATCCCTCTACATCATGTCATCTTGCTTAATGCGTTACTCTGTTCTTATGAACTTAATACTCTAGATGCAGGCAGGAGTCGGTCGATGTGTGGAGTAATAGTAGTAGATGCAGGCAGGTGTCGGTCTACTTGTTATGGACGTGATGCCTATATACATGATCATGCCTAGATAACGTCATAACTATGCGCTTTTCTATCAATTGCTCGACAGTAATTTGTTCACCCACCGTAATATTTATGCTATCTCGAGAGAAGCCTCTAGTGAAACCTATGGCCTTCGGGTCTATCTCTTATCATATTTGCTTTCAATCTATCTTTATTT